AATCCCACATGAGTAAGAGTTAATCTACAAGACAAACATTACCCCGTGACACAAGTGACTAAGAGTGAATTTACAAGATAAACATTACTCCCACATGAGTAAGAGTTAACCTACAAGACAAACATTACCCCGTGACACAAGTGACTAAGAGTGAATTTACAAGATAAACATTACTCCCACATGAGTAAGAGTTAACCTACAAGACAAACATTACCCCGTGACACACGTGACTAAGAGTGAATTTACAAGATAAACATTACTCCCACATGAGTAAGAGTTAACCTACAAGACAAACATTACTCCCGTGACACAAGTGAGTAATAGCTAACCTATAAGACAAACATTACCCCGTGACACACGTGAGTAAGAGTTAACCTACAAGACAAACATTACCCCGTGACACACGTGAGTAAGAGTTAACCTACAAGACAAACATTACCCCGTGACACAAGTGAGTAAGAGTTAACCTACAAGACTAACATTACTCCCGTGACACAAGTGAGTAAGAGTTAACCTACAAGATAAACATTACCCCGTGACACACGTGAGTAAGAGTTAACCTACAAGACAAACAATACCTTCCGTTGTACGACCCAGGAATGAACATTGCCTTCTTAAGAGATTTTGGTCAATAATTATCTAGTAACCCATAACACAAAACTGGTCACTTGGTTTACAAATGTTTTGTCTTAGAACCATGTTTAATAAGACATTACCTTAATTTGCGATTTAATGGCTGTTTACAGAATAACATGCTGAATTTATCTACATTTTGATTGGATAAAGGAAATAATATTGACGACATTATTGACTGAACTACAAAACGATGTTTATTGTTTTACATAACGAGACAGTTGGTCTCATCTAGAAAATAACTGATTAGTAAAGAGAAACACGTTGTGTTACCTTTACGTTTCTTTACTTAGTGTTTATATTATTCTCTTGCAAAACCTAAGCCTAATTTCTGTGCGTACGAAATATTATTTTTATTTTATGAAATTTTTATGAAAAAATAACGTATTGTAAAACTCATTTAATTATGAGCTTTCGGTTTGATCATGGATACCTATATCAGCCTTATTAGTTCATGCTGAGTGACGTAACATAAACTAGAAACATGTTACTGACTGCCTTACTGAGAATTAGAAAATTCATTTGATGGTCTGATATGATATTTTTCATATAGCACAAATATTAGCACTTGCCAAGGTTATTAGATGATTTTAAAATAACTAATAAAAATGCCCGCGTCAGTTACGGCATATATTTTGGTTACCATACGGGGATGGCGTGACGCCGTGCGCGTGTGTCACTCTCGCGCACCATAGTGAAAATTGAATTGGTTGTTAAAAATGGAGAGACGCATAAAGAAGTTTTCCAGAAGTTTGAAAATTTTCGTTCTGGACATCCAGACAGAAGCTTGAGACTATTCATAATAGATTCACATTAGAATTCCGCAGTGATTGTGGACCACTATGCATCGTTTACCAAAACTGACCAAGGCTAGTAACCTATGAACCTGAACCTAAGTAGCCTTATTTAGCTCGCGATGTTCTCACGCTAGAAGCATGAAACTCGCGCCAATCAGAGCGAGGCACGCTCAAACTAACCTCCATATTGGATGGTTTGAAAAATAATTATCTTTCATAAAACTACTTACACGTATCCTGGCATGGACGGACACAAATACGGACCTTTTTATTTCTCCAATAAGCGTACACGTCAGATCAGTTTTAGATTGGCTCTTAAATATGTCTAAACATTCTAATCCTGTCATAATTATGTCTAGCACGCGATGGAAGTCCATTATTGATAGAAATAGATCAGCTACAATTAGCTCATCTCAAGTGATGACGATTTGATAAAAGAGTCCTAAATGGGACCTGAAGTGGAACGTTAGATGATTGCTTTAGTTAATCTTTGTTGAGAAAACACATAACCTTTTTTTGGTCTGAACTTAGAAATCAAATCGGAATTTAGTCTAGCGTGAAATCATTGTTTGCGTTTGTGAATGTTGTTTCTCTTTTTTGTTGCTGTTAATGGCCCGTGTCTTATTTCGCTTAACTTTCTGTTAATCTGTATAGTTCAATGGCCTCGTTCTGCTTTCAGTAAATACACATTATCGACGTGCCTAAAAATAAAACATTCCGTTATCTGATGACTCACAACATTTATACACATCTCTCTATTAGGTCGCTCATGATGTATCATTCCATTATCTGATGCCTCACAACACTTATACACATCTCTCTGTTCAGTCGCTCATGATGTATCATTCCGTTATCTGATGACTCACAACACTTATACACATCTCTCTATTAGGTCGCTCATGATGTATCATTCCGTTATCTGATGACTCACAACACTTATACACATCTCTCTATTAGGTCACTCATGATGTATCATTCCATTATCTGATGCCTCACAAGACTTATACACATCTCTCTGTTCAGTCGCTCATGATGTATCATTCCGTTATCTGATGACTCACAACACTTATACACATCTCTCTATTAGGTCACTAATGATGTATCATTCCGTTATCTGATGACTCACAACACTTATACACATCTCTCTATTAGGTCACTAATGATGTATCATTCCGTTATCTGATGACTCACAACATTTATACACATCTCTCTATTAGGTCACTA